AGATGTAGTCAAAGCTATAAAAGCATTGACATTTCACTCTTGTAAATACCACTTTATATCCTACGGGATTATGATATTCCTAACATATAACATTGAATATATCACCTTGATAAAATCATTTTTAAAAACTAAACAATTGCTAAATCACCATTGTCACGTCTCTGGCGAGTTGCCTTATCACCTAAAACTATTTATTTTTGTGTATCATAGTAAAAGGATACGATTTACCCCGTAACATTTGGTGGTGACTATGAGATACTAAACTTCATAAATCTTCGCATTTTATACCTATTAAAATATGAATAAAACAATTTAATAAGTTCATGGAAGCCTTGACTAAAAAGGAAGAAAATCAAAATTTACCAAAAGAAAGTAATCTTGTAAAGATTAAGTATTTCTATGGTACCGATGATGAAGATCTTTTCGAATAGTTCAATGACTTTGAAAGAGCCGCTAAAGCCAATAACTGGCCCGAAAATCGTCAGATAAAAATTACGTCAGGTTATCTAAAAGAAATGGCAGCTGAATAGTATAAAAGAGTTAGAGAAAATATTAAATTTTGGAAAGTGACCTGCAGGTCGATAGCATAGCGGTTATGCTCCCAGGTTGCAAATCGGATAGTTGCCAGTTCAATTCCTCCTAGCGGCGAAATAATGAAAACCCAAATATGGAAGTGAAACATCGCGAGGTACAGGGAACTCGAGACATCTACGGATGGATGTATTCGGAAAATAGTTATTCTGAGAAGTTGTGACTGTGAAGCGAGGCGTGTTAGAACCCCGATTTGGAATAACCGAAGTCATGAGACGTACTGTGAGGCCAAAGTCTGAGAAGATACTACAAGAACTCGTGGCGCCACCGGATTGGCTAGTGAAATCCCAGTCTAATATTAAGGTGTTTTGACCTCTCCGGAGTTCGTGCAGGCGGTCGGATCTAGGCCCCAATGAGGGAACCAGAGAAATGGCAGGCAATGGATTCCAGATGGATATGCATGATTCCCGTATAGGGATTATGGAGGTCCTGTGACACTAGTAGCATAGGGTCAACTATAAAGATAGCTGGACCAAGTCACGTCTAGACTTGCCGAAGTAATAAAAAAAAAATTTTTTGGAAAGTGGAAGATGAAAATGAAATAGAACGAGGCAAAAGTTTTTATCATTTATTGGTGGGACAGTTTGCTCTGGAAGATCGTCAACATCGTTGGCAGATGGAGTTATACGAATTACAACAAAAGGATATAGAAAAAGTGGATGTCTATGCCACTAAATTCTAGAAATTGCTTAGTAGAGTTAATATTGATAATAGGTTTTCCAAGGGCTTTATCATGAGGATGTTCTTGAAGGGTCTAAAGGGCAATAATGCCAAACTTGTAAATATCACCGCACCTAATTTAAAAGATGCAATTGCTGCAGCAAAAAGAATCGAAGCTGGGGGTTATTATCATCAATGACCTTCTGAACAATTAAATGTTCAACATCGAATGGGGAATGAGTTAAATGATTTAAAGAAAAGTATTAAAGGTTTAGCATTAAATTATGCAACCTTAACTAGACAAATGAAGGATACAATAAATCGATATCCACAAGTAAACTCTTTTAGAGAGAGTTTACAAAATAGGCCGGTAGAAAGAAAAGGAAAAGTGAAATGTTATAATTGTGGAGAAACGGGCCACATAGCCCGACATTGTCTTTCAGAAAAAGTAAAATATCCGTATCTTAATCAACAAAAAGAAAAATTAACAAAAACTATTAGTTTTTGTGAGTTGGAGGAAGATAATAAGCAAGAAGTTTTTATAGCCAATAATCTTATCCCTACAACAATTAAGAAACGCTCGGCAAATCCTAAATGGGAAGAAAGATTAAGAAAAGAGGTTAAAATATCTCAAGAAAAAGCAAGAGAAGATAAAAAAAAAATTGAAATTGAAAAAAATATAATAAAACAAAATCCACTTTCCTTAAATAACTCTAAAAGAAAGCATAAACCATCAATAATAGATTCTTTACAACCCTATAACGTAGCAGATGATATTTTATCATTATCTACAAGTGCTACAGTAGGTCAAATACTTCAATATCTGAATCAAAGAAGAAACTTAGCAAGAATTCTAAAACATCCATCGATAACAAAAGGAGTAAAATTTGTAAAAGAATACCAACGTACTACTGCCGCTCGGTGTTTTATTTGAATACAAAATAATTCGGTCTTGGCTGTATTAGATTCAGGAGCTGCCGTAAGTATCATATCAAACCAACTCCTAAGTAAACTTGGACTAAAAATAGATGATAAGTCTATTACTGTGGTAGTAATAGCTACAGGAGCCAGGGCCAGAACATTAGGAAAAATCAAAGATGTAAGAATAGTAATTAAGGATATTATAATCCCTACTACCTTATATATAATAGAGTTGTTGGATGACACTCTATTGTTGGGTACTGATTGGTTTCAGAAAACCAAGGCTAGAATTCACTTTGATGAACAAAAACTATATTTACAATATGCTGACAAATCAGTAGAAGTCCTAATTTTGAATAGTGGTACTAAAGGCCTTAGTCCACAGGAAGATGAAGACTTATATAGCGATGGAGACACGTTTGATGAATTCGACTATGAAGAAGAAGAATTCGATAAGTTTAAAGAAGAAAAGATAGAAAGTTGACTCTTGAATAGTGAAGAAAATCCTGCACTATACCTTACTAATATAGAGGAAGTGCCTACTAAGAAAGATGAAAAAGAAAAAGACAAAGAGAAATCTATTAAAGAAACAATTAAAGAGATGGTTAATAATAAAGAATTAACTCAAGAACAGCAATTAAAAATAAAAGAATTTCTACTTAAAGAAGAAAATCTATTTGCTTAAGGTCTTGAAAATCTAGGCCGTACAAATGCTATTACACATAGCATTAATACAGGTAACGCCGCTCCGATTAAACAAACCTACTATAGAGCTACCTATGAAGAAACCGAATTTATACAAAAAGAAATAAAGAAATTAAAAGAACAAGGATTAATATTTGAAATAAATAGTCCTTGGTTATCTTCGGTAGTTATAGTACCAAAGAAAAATGGCAAACTACGATTTTGTGTAGATTATAGAAAATTAAATGCCATCATGAAAAAGGATACATATACACTTCCTTATATTACTAATCTTTTGGACACTTTCGGAAAGGCGCAATGGTTTTCCACTTTGGATCTAATAAGTGGATATTGGCAAGTTGGAGTAAGTGAAAAAGACATTGAAAAAATAACATTTATAACAAAATTTGGTACTTACGCATTTAGAGTAATGCCGTTTGGCCTCTGTAATGCTCCGGGAACCTTCCAACGATTGATGGACACAGTACTTGGGGATTGTCTTGGTAAATTTGCCATGGTGTACCTAGATGACATAAATATTTATTCAAGTTCTTTAGAAGAATATTTAAAACATTTAAAAATCATCTTTGATAAATTAAGAAAAGCAGAATTGAAGTTAAATCTTGAAAAATGCACCTTCTTTAAATCAGAGATAAATTACCTGAGTCATGTAATTAATAAAGAGGGGGTGAAACCAGATGAAACAAAAATAGAAAAGGTTAAGAAATTTTCTGTACCTGATAATCTTCGCCAACTAAGGGGATTTATAGGATTAGCATCCTATTATTATCGTTTTATAAGAGGATTTGCCACGATAGCCCGATCTCTATATAAATTATTAGAAAAAGATATTCCCTACAAATGGGAAGAAAGTTAGCAAAATGTGTTTGAAACATTAAAACGACATTTGATAATGGCACCTATTTTAAGATACCCAGACTTTAAAAAGATGTTTTATTTACATACCAATGCCTCTGGTGTAGGGTTAGAAGCTATACTCACTTAAAAAGATAAAGACCACAAAGAATATGTAGTGGCCTACGCAAGCAGAGGTTTATCCAAGACGAAACATAATTATTTAGCCCCGGAAGTGGAATGTCTAGCTGTAGTTTGGGCAATAGAACATTTCCATTATTACTTTGATGCTAAACATTTCACATTAATAACAAACCATATCGCCCTTAAGTGGTTACATATCTCTGAACCAAAAGGGAAGAGAGCCCATTGGATTCTACGATTGCAACCTTATAATTATTCCATCATACATAGGGCTGGGAGAAAACACTCCAATGTTGATGCTTTATCACGAATGTATCTATTAAAAAAAAAATAAAAAAAATAAAAGGAGTAAATTAATTTTGTTAAGGAAGAAATTGTGTTAAAGAAACAAAAGATCAAATAATATATTACCATTAGAATTTCAAGAAGAGAATTATTTTATTAAAGAAAAATATAATTTATTATAGACAAATATATTGAATATCTTAGATTTAACTTGATTACTAGAAGTTGAACTATATAATATAATGGTATTAAAATACTAGGGAGAAAATAAATATATGATGAAAAAGTATAATGAGTCAATCGCTAACTTAGAGAAATTATTATTAAAAAAAAAAAAAAACACTTTAAACTAGAAAAATTTTTATAAGATACACTACTCTAGAAAAGGTTCTCTGCCTGTAAGTCGCATTTGTTGTGCAAAAACTCTGGAAAAGGTTCTCTGCCTATAAGTCGCATTCGTTGTACAAAAACTCTGAAAAAGATTAGTGTAATCTAAAAAATTATTGATATAGTTTAAAAAAAAAAAATAAAAAAAAAATTTAATTAAGAAAAAGAAAAATATATTATTAATTATAAAAAAGAGATTATTATATATTTACTTATATTAAAATCCGACTTTAAAATTAATCCAGCCCAGGTAGTCGGTGTCCTGGCAGATAAAGATGGAGTTATTAAGATATCAATTGTTGAAAAATTATCTTCAAGAACATATATTACTAAGAAATTTAACTCCACAGAAACGACGAAGTCTTCAAGCCCAAAGTCAATTCTTCGTCGTAAAGGATGGTTTAATATACAAAAAAGACAAACATAAGATTAGTCATTTATTGAGAGTGATTCAAAAATATGAAGTGAAACCTATTTTATACTTAGTCTACACTCACCCATTAGGAGGACATTTTGGCATAGATATAATGTTCAACAAAATTCAAGCTAAGTATTATTGGCTACAGATATATACCGATATTAGAAGATTCGTCCATACCTGCGATTCTTGTCAAAGAAGAGGCAAGAATTTAGTAAAACTATCTTTATACCCAATACCTGTAGAGGCTCCATTTTATAAAATTGGGATAGATATAGTAGGAAAATTACCTATAACTCCAAAAGGAAATAGATACATTGTAGTCGCTACAGACTACATGATGAAGTGGCCCGAAGCCAGAGCAATTAAGAATACTAATGCTCAAGAAGTGGCTGATTTCATTTATGAGGATATAGTATGTCGCCACGGGTGTCCACAATACTTACTTTCAGATCGGGAACACATTTCCATAATAATCTAATGGATGAATTTTTAAAGAAATTCAATATCAATCATCACTATTTAACACCTTACTATCTACAAATGAATAGATTGGTTGAACGATTCAATAAGACATTGTGTGAATCTATATTTAAATTAGTCACCAATGTAAGAGAATGAGACTCACTAATTCCTTCAGTACTTTTTGCATACCGAACTGCCAAGCAAAATATGATGAAAATTACTCCATTTTATTTGATATACAGAAGGGAAGTTCAATTTCCAATACATCCTGATGAAAATAAAGAAGAATTATTAGAAAGAACTTTTATTCAAAGACTTTTCAAATTAATTGAAGTTTTACCTATAAAAAGAAATGATACTGTTAAACGAATTGAAAAAGCACAAGAGAGTGCTAAAAGAAGACACGATAATGATTTATCTACTATAGAAGAATTAAAGAAAGGAGACTTTGTATTAGTATACAAAGCTTCTCAACAGCATTCGAAGAGTCACAAACTTCATCCGAAATGGAAGGGTCCTTTCGTCGTTCAGGTGTTAGAGAAAGGCGTGTTTAAACTTCGATCTATCGATGGAAAAGTAATTAAAACCCCTATAAATAGAAAATTAATTAAGAAGTACTATTCTAAATAAGGGAAGTGAAGAAAAGGGTAAAGAACAAAAAAGGATATAAATTAATTCAAAGTTACTATTTTAAATGAACAATATAATATGATGACATAATGATCATCATTAACAATGAAATTGTATTTTTTTTATTAATTAAATAAACTATATATACGTAATTGTTAAAATTTTATTAAAAGAAGTAATAAACTATATTTGATAGTTTAAACTCACTATTAGAAAATGGCACCAGTATGGACAAGTGGAAATAAATATGTCGACAATTGTATTCAAGAATTTCAAATTAAAGTTGTAAACTGTGAAAATATATTAGAAAGGATTTCTTTTAAGATTAGAAGATCAGGGTTAGGGTCCCATAGCCTAGTGGTCTAGGTGCCTAACCCTCCACAGACAAGGTCAACGGTTCGATTATAGCTGGTGGTAATTAATTTAATTAGTTATCTCTGTAACCTACGGAAGCTTTCGAATGCAAAACCCTGTGACAATAAGACCATGTGAAGTACTTATTTGGCCTATAAAGAATTCTTGGAAAGAGTCCCAAGCCGTAGAGAAGACTGGGCACTACGTGTGACATGGCGGCACAGAAAGTAATACCGCATAAGGCTGTGCATATAAATCCTCGATTAGCTAGGTAGCACTAACAACCCTAAGACGGTCTTGGGGATCTTGATTAGGAGGACGGCTAAATGTAGTATATCTGGAAGTGGTGAGAGAAGCGGTGAATACAGCAGGGGGCTGTGGTAAGAGGATAGCTTTACTAAATAAAGGAACACCTCTGGCATACAAGATTGGATAATAGAAAATCTTGTAATATAGTACATAATTGAGGACTAATTAGGAAGGTTGAAATTGAGATACAGATTGTGTTATGGCCGCACCCCAAAAGGTGGCGTGAGA